ACACACACACACACACACACACACACACACACACACGTACACAGACACGCACAGACACACGTACACACACTCACACTCACACACTCTCACTCAAACACACACACACACACACACACGCACACACACACACACACACACTCTCACACACACACACACACACACACACACACACAGACACACACACACACACACTCTCTCACACACACACACACACACACACACACACACGCTAAGAATAGGCTGGCCTGATCTGTTCACCTGAGCTTTTACAAACCAGCCCAGCATCAGCGGTGCCTGTTCTCTGAGATCTCTCTGCGTCTCACCTGCACACTTCAACCCAGTGACCTACAAACACAAACAGCAGCTCGCTCACATTGTCCCGCTGTAATTCCCGCAGGAATCCGGCGAACGCAGCGTCTCATGACGCCTGTTATTCACATCAAACACACTTCAGGCCACGTTTAATGGCATAAATGCTTGAATAATTCTGCGTGAATAAACATTTAACGCACTACAGGTGCAGTTCAGCCATATTTGATCTTTTGGCCGTTCATTCACACACAAATGAAGATTTATGAGGGTTTAGTGGCTTTCTCACATTACAACAGCTAAGACAGACGGTATGATGGCATTTCAAAACCCTGAACAAACACATGCAACCGGCACACTATAAAACCAGCTCATTTTAATAGCTTTTAAAACACTGTAACGAAATGTCCAGGTCATATTTCATGCCAAAACAATAAGTAAGAAATTCTGTTTAGCAATTAAGAAAAGTAAGCCTATTATTATTATTTTGTCATTATCTGCATGAAAATTTCCCCCAAAATTTAAAAAAAAAAAAACATCTCTTTTACTATAATGTGGTGTTAAAAATCATCTTATTCAGATGCCTTAATTAATTATTCATTTTAAATTATTATTAGATTATAATTAATTAAATAAAAACTACTATGTACTTTAATTTTAAATTAAATTAAATTAAATCCCACAGCACAGACAAATACTGCATAAAGAGTTTTATCAACACTACTCAGAATTAAAAAATTATTATTAGATTATAATTAATTAAATAAAAACTACTATGTACTTTCATTTTAAATTAAATTAAATTAAATTAAATTAAATTAAATCCCACAGCACAGACAAATACTGCATAAAGAGTTTTATCAACACTACTCAGAATTAAATGTACAGTCGTGGCCAAAAGTATTGGCAAAAAACAGCTATTTTAAATTATAAAAATATATCACATTTTTACTGAATCTTTCATCAAATAAATGCAGTCTAAATCACTGAACCCAAACGTTTGAATGCTGTAAACCTGTTCGGAGACAATCATTGTTTTTGCAATTCCGTTCGGTGCCACTAGAGGCGCTAAAATCCCACATTTCTGCTTTAAACACATGCACAAACACTACAGGTTCAATCTCACATCTGGGGACCTAGCGAGTTATTGAGATCAATTACCCATGAGCCACTGAGCCAAACAATTCACCCCAGACGCTCCAGGTGCAGTTATTAGTGCACATGAAGACTTTGATTAAAAACCGTCCACTTCAAAATGTATAAAAATAAATAAATAAGCAAACTTTTAAATAAACATTGTATATAAATAAATGTATATAAATAAATAAGCATTTAACGAAGTAGTCAAAATTTATAAATAAATAAATAAAGCATCCTTTACAGAAGTATTCAAAATATATACAAATAAATAAATAAAAGCTTTTAAAGAAGCATTGTATATAAATAAATAAATGCATATAAAAAAATAAATAATATATAAGCTTTTAAGAAGTATTCAAAATGTAAATGAATAAATACATAAAGCTTTTATAGAAGCATTGTACATAAATAGATAAATATTAAATAAAGAAGTATTCGAAATGTAAATAAAGAAATAAATGAATGTTTCAGTTCAACATTTTTTAAATGTTTCGGAACGTTCAAAAGTAACATTCCCATAACGTTTGAAAATGACACAATGGCATAACCAAGAAAAAAAACATTTCTAAAGCTAAAATCGGACGCGTTAAATGTTCAGAAATAACATTAATGAGAAATGTTCTTGGAATGTACTCTTGTCAGCTGGGATTAAGAGCGTTTTAAGATTTCTAAACAGAAACTACAAATGCAAATGAAGTGCGTTCTGAGCGTGTTTTACCAGTCTGAAGGAGCGCAGGACAGACAGACCCTCCACGTTGGACAAACCCAGCTCCATGAGACTCAGACTCACGATCAGACTGTCAAAGATGTTCCAGCCCTGCTGAAAGTAATAATACGGATCCAGAGCGATGATCTTCAGGACCATCTCCGCGGTGAAGATGCCTGTGAACACCTGAGAAGAACAGCAGCAGATTTACATTCATGCATCGGACAGACGCTTTTATCCAAAGTGACTTGCGTTAAATATCCACTTCAGTGCAATCCCCAGGGAATCAAATCCAATCAAACCGCTTGAGCTACAAGAATCTTATTTGTATGTACATTATGTAAAGAAATATATACATGTTGTGTAAAGAATGTATAAATAGTTGTATAAATATAAATCAATTATGCATATAAATATATGCATGTGAATGTACAGAGGTGGCCAAAATCATTAGAACACTAGTATTTTCAGCAGCTAACAAAATGGTTATATATACTGTATATATATATATAATGGTTTTGGTATATAAATAAATATATACATGTCAATATATATATATACACATGTATTTACATTAGTTTTTACAGATTGAGACTTGCTTGAAAAACATGGTAAATGTTTAGTGTGATATTCTTCATCTGCTGAGTAATTTAAGTAATATTAAATTAAAATAATAAATTTAAATAAAAATTATTTTGAGTGCTTAATAGTCAAGCAAGCTTCATTTTCTGTATGCACAATATATTTATTTATTTATTTGAAATATATTTATTCTACTCGGGGTTGTTATTGTTAACTAAAACTATTAAAATCTTTTATGAAATAAATTAAAAATACAGAAGAAAAATAAACAACTGGAAACTCTGACTAACTGAAATACGATTTCTAAACCTAAAAAAGATCATAGAAAAATAGAAAAAGCTACTAAAAACAAAAGCACATGACAAAAATTTAGCAAAAAATATATATATTTCTAATCTGCTCATTTTTATTGTTAACTAAACCTATAAAATGGATGTGACCTGTTATTGTAACGCAGTTTTTATTCTTTAAATTACATTTTCTACTTAATTTTTATGTTCTGCAGGGCACTGTACAATTATTGGCAGCTGCTGAAAGCATAATTAAATTATGCAAAATATTTAAAAAAGCAAAGTCGGAAGGGGCGGGGCATGTGTGTTTGTTTTCTACAGCTGCTCTGCTTCTTGTTTCTGGGAGCCGAGCGTTTGGATGTGACTGCGATACGTGACACGGAGGAGTCTCTATAAACATCTGAGAGAAACACGTCCTGTGAAGATGAGCAGAGCCCTTAATTACTGCTTTAATCTCACCAATAAACCCAGATCTGGAGGAACAGCCACGGCCTCTGCTCGTGGAAACACGCTCCGCGCACACTTCAGCCCAACAAAACATAAGCCAGTGAATGAATGAATAAACAAATAAATAAATAGGCGAGTTCATTTATATAGCACATTTCATACACTGTGGCCATTTAAAGTGCTTCACAGAAAGAAAGAAAAAATAGTAATCATAAAAAGTTAAAAGTCAATAAAAGAAGTAAACATTTTAGAAAATAATAAATTAGTTCAAAGGAAATAATGTTATTATTATTATTATAATGCTATTATTTATCAAATGAAATCATGTTAGACACATTCAAATAAATACGTAAATAAATTAAAAATGAATCTAGTTATTTTCATGTTAATTAAACACATTCACCCCAAATTGGTAAATGTGGACATTTTTTATTTTATTTTTTTATTTTTTTGGTCATTCTAATTGTTCTCAACTGTGATTCTCATTAGATTCACACATGAGAATTTAACTTTTAAATATTAAATTGAAAATACAAAAATTCAAATTAATTAAAATTTGTAATATTTTTAATGTTTAAATGTATTTTTTTTTATTAAACAACAAAATAAATACTACTATGGTGCAGTGGTACAAAAAAAACTTTAATAAATAAATAATATAAAATAAAAGTAATTTATTATTATTATTGAATTTATAATTCTAATTTCTGAATTGTAATTCTCATTAGATTCTCTTTACTGTAATAATTAAATTACAATATACAATATAATAAAATATTTATATATTTAATATTTTATGTAATATTTTTATATTTACATTTAAATTCCTACATTTTATTTAAATTAAACAGCACAATAAATACTTTGATGTAGTACAATTACATTTAAATGCAAATAATCAAAAAAATAAAAAATTTACATTTTACAAATTTTACATCTAGGTTTCATTTTCTTTGTGTAAAATATAATTTCTTATTTCTTTCGTCTGGTTTTGGGATGAGATTATGAGCTAGACGCGTTCAGAGCAACGGACAAATACAAAAACTAACTAACTAACGGAAATAAATAAGTTAAAGTTCTAAAATTTCTAAAACTGAAATAAAAATAAATTAAAAGCTAAATAAAAATATATAAAAAACATATACTATAATATATAATATAATGCTACTAAAAATGAAAAATAAGCACGTAACAAAATTAAATATTACATTTAGCAAACAATATAGATTTAAATTCTGCTTGTTGTTATTGTTAACTGAAACTATTAATTGAAATAAATCTGGAATAAAATAAAATGTAAATATAGAAAAGAAAATAGAGAAATCTGAACTAATTGAAATTAAATATGTTCAAAGTACTAAAAATACTAAAACTAAATTTAAAAAAATTATAAATGAAAGATAAACAAATTATTAAAAAAATGAAAAAAGCACAACAAAACTGAAATGAAATGAAATTATTAAATTTGGCAGTAAGGGTCTTGACACTGCAGACAATATGGATCTTCATTCTGCTCGTTGTTGTTGTTAACTCAAACTATTAAAAATCTATTTGTTAAGTGAAATAAATCTGAAACAAAATATAAATATTAGAATTTTTTTTTTTAATTGACAACTACCTAAAATAGTTATGTTGAAAAAAAAGATCAAAATTAAATGCGACAAAATCACATAAAATTTAACTAAAATTAAAATGAACATTTAAAATAAATAAGTAATTCAAAATATTAATAAATACTATAATATTACATAAATAACACTAAAATAACACAGATTGTATGTACTCTTTGAACGTGAGATTTTACATTAATTTTTAGGAAATATAAGAGAAGTCACTCAAATGAAATCCTTTTAAAATCTCAAAAACCAGCAATGAAATTACGTGAGAGCACAGTTTCTCAACAAAGTCTCATAAAAATCTCCCAAAGTCAAACGATCCGAGCTGCAGTCCACATCAACATTATGGCTCTATAATCTTATTGCGCGAAGACGAATTCCTCTGAAGACATTTTGGGAGAAAGATAAGAGATGTTTAAATGAAAGACTGCTGAGCGCTGAGCGAGAATCCTCCGGGTCTCCAGTGTCTCTCCAGCCGTCAGTGTGAGTTTTATCATCTAACACAGATTACAAACAACATGTGAGCTCTGACTCTGAGCCGCTGTGACCGCGGGCCGCTAGCACACACTGCTTCACCGCTGTCGGCACGTCTCGCTCTCAAAAACTAATGCTGCGTAAGCCAAACATCACAACTCAACAATTCACACCAACAGCATAATCCACGCCTCATGTCTCTGTGAGCAATAAGGAAAGCTTATTGAATTATATGCAACATATTATATATATTATGTATCAAAATATATTTTTTAAGATTTTTCTGGAAAAATATCTTCCACCGTCTTTAAAGGGGAATGTCATGAAAACACAATCAGGTCAATAAAATAAAATAAAATAAAATAAAGAAAAAATAAATAAAATAAATAAATAATAAAATAAAATAAAATAAAATAAAATAAAAATTTTAAATAAATAATAAATGTATAATAATTATAATAATAATTTTATAAATAATAAAATAAGTAGATAAGTTTCTTTAGATTTTATGATCAAATATGACATGTTCTTGATAGCCTTAGTGAGATTCACATTTTAGTATGGCTAAAAAAAAAAAGAAGAGGAAATAAGGAAGAAAAATGTTAATTAAAAAATGTTACAATAAGGAAACCTTTTTAAAAAAGCTGTAAAATATATGCAAAATATAACATTGAGTATAAAAATATATATATATTTTTTTTTTTAGATCTTTCTGGGAAAACATCGTCCTCTTTGAATGTGAATTTCAGGAACACATTCAGGTCACATTTCACTAAACTAAACTAAACTTAACTTAACTTAACTTAACTTAACTTAAATTTAATTTAATTTAATTTAATTTAATTTAATTTAATTTAATTTAATTTAATTTAATAAAATAAAATAAAATAAAATAAAATAAAATAAAATAAAATAAAATAAAATAAAATAAAATAAAATAAAATAAAATAAAATAAAATAAAATAAAATAAAATAAAATAAAATAAAATAAAATAAAATAAAATAAAATAATATTATATTAAATTAAATTAAATTAAATTAAATTAAATTAAATTAAATAAAACAAAATGTAATTAAATTTAATTAAATTAATTAAAAATAAAAATTATAAATTAAATAAAATTAAAATAAATTATAAAAATAAATAAAATGATATATATATAATTTCAAAATATTAAATAAATTTAGTTTTCTTTAGATTTGAGTATAAAATATGAGCCAGACATGTTCTTGACAGCCTTAGAGACATTCACACTTTAGCAAGGCTGGACAAACATTTCCAAAGAAGTTACAATAAAGAACCTTTTTTAAAAAGGCTGCAAACTGTATGCAAAATCTAATATACACTGCATATTATATATCAAACTTTAGGATAGATTAAATTCTCGGTGAGTTTGAGTCTTCATCGCGGCTGGACAAACACAGGAGCGGCGCTGAGGTGTTGCTGTCTGTAACTAACATGCTCTGCACTTTAATCTTCAGATGACGAGTCGATAATGCTGTCAGTCATGCACAAACTACCCGTCACTCATGTGAAGAGACCGTATTGATCTGAACGTCCTCGTATGACTCCGTCTACACCATCTACATCCTCAAACACCAGCAATATTTCTGCAGTGCACAGGCTTTATTCACTGCACACTCACTAGATTTGCTAAAATGTGCCAAATGCATCCAGATTACACTGCGCTGGCTGCTGTTTCCCACAATGCAATGTGCTAAAGATGACTTTCCGACCGGTATAACAAATAAACGTGATATCAACATCTGCTTCTTGACTTATTACTCAAGTGGACGTTTTATACAAGAATGTTACAGTTTTGGCCAATGTTTGTGTATTTTTATTTTCAGTAACTGTGTAGACTGATATTGAAATATCAGGGCTTGTTGTATTTATTCAATTAAAAAAAATAAATTAAATTATATATATATATATATAGAGAGAGAGAGAGAGAGAGAGAGTTTTGTATTTAATATAAATAAATTATAAATATAATCATAACATTTTTAAATGTATAAATATATAATTTATATGCATACATTATCATTTTGGGTTTTTAAAGTGCTTCACAAAAAACATAAAAAGTTTAATAAGAAATAAAAATTATAATAAAATAATTTTATTGTATTTTTTATTTTATTTTTCAATAGAATAATATTTTATTAATCTGTGATGCATTAAATTTATCAAAAATGACAGTAAAGACGTGTATAATGTTACAAAGGATTTCTATTTGAAATAAATGCTGTTCTTCTGAACTTTCTGTTCATCTGTGAATCCTGAGAAATAAAATATATCACGGTTTCCACAAAAATATTGTGCAGCACGACTGTTTTCAACATTGATAATAATCAGAAATGTTTCTCGAGCAGCAGATCAGCATATTATACTGATTTCTGAAGATCATGTGACACTGAAGACTGGAGGAATGATGCTGAAAATACAGCTGCGCATCACAGAAATACATTACAGTTTAACACACATTCACATAGAAAACAGCTGTTTTAAATCATAAAAATATTTGACCATTTTTACTGTATTTTGATCAAATAAACGCAGCCTAAATGCAGAAGAGACTTTCAAAAACATTAAAAAAATCCCAAACTTCTGAATTTTAGTATACATTTATATAAATGCATACATTAAAACATTTTTAAATATAATATAATATAACATAATATTACATTTATCTAAAGATTCAATATTCATTTGAATACATTTATAATATCAACACATTCCTTTAAATGCTACAGTAAATATATTTCAATTAGTGTTGTCAATCGATTAAAAAAATTAACGAATTAATCGCACATTTTTCTGAAATTCTCGATTAATCCCACCTAACATTAAAGTTTTTAAATATACTTTTATATTGCAATAATTTCACATTCAATCTTCAAATGAATGTACAAACAACATAAAGACAGTATATTTTTAAATATTTGTTTAAAGGCATCTTTTTTTTATGACTGAAGGTCAGTATCACTGATACCAATACTACTGATGTCTCTGTAAAATTGCCCCCCCCCCATATTTAAGCATTGACTAGCCATTCAGCATTACAGTATAATTGAGAGCTATCAATTTTAACATTTATTAGACTTTTAAAAATAACTTCTAATTTCAGTGAACTTAAAACAATCTTCACATAAACCCATTATAATAAATATCATATTTACCTGTGCCCTTCAGCAGAAATATACAGAGATTGAAATTGAAGTTATCAAACACTAAATTCTAAATTAAATACAGATGAATCCTTAGAGCTATAAAAGGTATTTTTCCTCTTTTCTCTGTGTCCTTTGACGAACAGACATCACAGCAGCTGGTTATTAGGTTGTTTTGGCTGCTATTACTTTAAGAGCTGCCGCTGCTGAACGTGACGCGGATCTGACACGCATCAGATTTTCTCTCAACTCTCTTCATCTTTTCTGTCTCACTTCAGGTCTTAAAGTCTCTATTAATGAGCTCACGAGTTGAATCGGGTGTGTTAGATGAGGGAGACTGTGCTGGGCTCCAGGACAGTTTTGAAAACCAT